AGAGCAAAACTGTAACTGTTTATATAAATCCATTATAATTTTTATAGCAAAATAATTTGTAGATTCAGCAAATTATATCCAGCAAATAGTGATTATTATTCTTAGCAAATCTTTTTGCTGTCCATATAATAACGAAAAGACCAGCAGAAAATTTGCTGGGCCAGTAAATTGTTTTTCTCCGTGTACCATTTGCGATTTACTAACTTTCTTACTTATTATATTGAAACACGTTATCAGTCTGTCTTTCAAACAATTTCTTTATCATACATTTTCACAGTATTATCTTCGTAGTTTTAGACACGTGGTAGCGCAATTAAACGCGCAGAATATTCCAAGACTATCGATTTAATCATTTTATTGAGAACATGGAGAAAAATAATTTGCTGACCCAGCAGATTTTTTGCTGGTCTAGCAAAATTCTTTCGTTATTATATGGACAACAAAAAGATTTGCTAAGAGTACTAATTACTATTTGCTGGATATAATTTGCTGAATCTACAAATTATTTTGCTATAAGAACCATGATGGACTTATATAAACAGTTGCAGTTTTGCTCCAATAGCAAATAAATTTGCTAAGAATACATTATTTTGCATTAATAGCAAATTAACGTGATTCTTAGGACAAATATACTCAACAATTTTTTTCTATCCTGGCAACGAAACTACTTCGGTTCTGAAAACAAATGATTTGTAAAATTAGTTACGTTAACTAAATTTTTTTTATGTTATTACGAATATGCAACGATGATTTTGCTAAAAAAGCAAAATTATTTTTCTTCATGAATTAAAGTTTTCTAGCCAAGACGTAATTCTGCAGAAATTAAGTAAAAAAAAGGAAAAAAAACATTACGTAATTGTGGATTATTAGCTCTGTGAATCATCAGTATACTCACGACAGCAATTTTCTCGAATCGAGATTTTCTTTTTCCAAGCTTCAAGTCGGCCGCGAACATCATTGCTTCTGAAACCGTAAGGTTTGGTTGCACAAGATTTTCTTGCATGATATAGCATGACATCTTTTTAAATTCCTGAATGTCTCGCAGTTGTCCATTAATATTTATAGAGCCATTTATGTCCGTGTATCTACAAATATATTATAATTACAACTTTTCAATTAAATTATTATCCAATGCTGCGTAACGAAACACTTTTTGCACCGCAATATTTCATTATTGGTAGTTCTTAAATTTTGCGTCAGCTACACGCTCATGTTAATCCGGTTGATATTAATTATTCAACAGCTGTGTCATAGGTTAATGGTCGAGGTTGCTGTTCTTCATTGTTTATGCTACACTCTTTAAGCGTGTCATGTACATTATGCATCCTTGAACACTATACAGCACTTAAACACTATGATAATAAGGTTAAGGATATATAAATCGACGTAATTAATGTAATGGCACGATATATATAAATCATAATAAACAAATCATCCTTAAGCAGTTATAAATTTATACTCAAATACTTGTTTAAAAGTTGTCTATTAATTATATAGAAAAAAATTGGCTGAGAGAGTTGTAATACGATTAATCAATTCAGTTAGATACATCATGATATAATCATTTAACTCACTTGTAACCCGCGAGGATGTTCAAGAGCGTTGACTTCCCGGCACCGGAAGGACCTAGTATTGCCGTCAATTCACCCGATTTGAATTGCCCGCTGATCCCTCTCAGAATCAAGTTTGATCCTGTAAATTAAGTGAATTAAATGACGTCTTGCATTCGTACAACATGATTAGTAATCGTTAGGCCGAAAATACGCTATTAATTGCTATTAATTATTCAAGTACTGTATCATAGATAGATAGTTTGCTGAGGTTAATTTGCTTGCGCAATGTATAGTCACACATAAATGTTTATAACTTTGTTACGCTTGCTTATCAAGTTCTAGTTTCGACTTTCTAGTGGATTCAAATCTAGTTCAAATATGGTCAAATTGAGACATCTAAAAAAATATATATAACAATATTGCGAATAACACAATCTTATAAACTTGATTTGTCGCAATAGTACTATCGGACATATATAGGCTCCCACTACTACCACATTATCTCTTAAGGACGGATTCCTGAGGTAAAAATCCTAATGCAAAAATATCGAGACTATAATACTTTTCAAATTATAAACGATTAAAGTTGACCAATTATACTGGCTAAAGTACGCGCGCTCAGGTACAGTACAACATATAATGATACAGGTGCATGCACGTAAATAAGAATTTGCATAAGATATGAAATTAGTTGTAAATCCCTGCAAGAAACGTCAAATGTGTGACAGTTTACTGATTTTTATAAATATATTGCGTGATATTTTATTCATAACATTTTGACAAAATTGTTATTTGCGATATGTTTATTTAAATGATAGAAAAGGCAGATTATTATTACATATATTATTGTATGTATAGAACTTCCGTATCAATATTTGGAAAAGGGACGACATGTGCATGTATCTGTACCATTATGTGTTGTACCGTACCTGAGCGCGCGTATTTTAGCCAGTATAATTGGTCAACTTCAATCGCTTATAATTTAAAAAGTATTATAGCCTCGTTATTAGAGTTAGTTACCTTAATATATTAAAAAATATTTTAAACAGTATTAACAAGAACGATCGAGATGTTAATATAGACCTTGATATTTCACCAAAAACATTGCATAATAAACTCGTATTTATTTCTTTGCATAGCATTGCATATCATTGCATCTTTGCATAGCATTGCAATCTAGATGCTAACGAAAAGAAACGATAACTGTACATTACATATGTCAGGGCTCGGAACAGTTTGCCAATTTCGACCGATTCTCGGGAGCTACGCCTTCTATCTTCCCTTGCCGCGAGTGAGCCTCAAAAGTGAAGGTCGAACTTCCAAGCTTGAAGTCGCGACTGGCCGCGACCGTTACTTTTGTGGCCCACCACGCGGCAAGATAGAGATAGAAGGCGTAGCTCCCAAGAATCGGCCGAAACTGGCAAACTGTTCCGAGCCCTGACATACGTGTTCTCATATTTTTTTCTACTTCGGTAATAAGAACAAGATGTAGTAATGTAATAATTAAATTAAATTAGTATGTGTGTATTAGTATTATGTAGTAATTAAATTAGCATCACCAAGTACGCATTTGTTAATAGTATGCATTTTACCTAGCGTAACGCCTAGCAGGAAGCAGCAAGAAATGAAGTGTTGAATGTATTAAGAGTTTTAGAACGTTAATAAATGTTTCACTTCCATAAGTTACACGTATCATTTATAATGCGGAGAACAGTTCAATCATACGCACGATTTTATGCCTTCTAAAGTACATTGTTACAGATTGCGAAAGGTCGTTGACAATTGTACGGATATTTCTCGGGGAAAACTGCATCTTAAATGTACGATATTTTTATGTCTGAACATGACGCTGTTGCGTGTGAATACAAGAAAACTATCCATTTGCGCGAAGATTTTTTTCTACTAATTCGGATGTTAAGACGAATGAAATTCTGCCGCGATATAATTTTACCATCCGATTAGTAATGCAGATTGCCTATTCTCTATTTATGATTGAATTATTCACTTCCCATTAGCTGTGGCATTATTCAAGACAAATAATTGGATTTTTATGTATTTAATTATATATATCAAAACAACATCAAGGTTAAAACACTCACTGAGATTCTGAAAATTGTTAAAGCTGTCGATATGAGCGGTAATTTATTGTCGTTAAATTTATATCGATGTTACGACTTGAATATTTTAGTCATCACTAGGAAACATATGTGGAAACAAACTTTGAAATCGATGTGAATCAACTGAAATATCCATTAAGATTGTGCGAGATGCCAAATGGAATTCAATATTTATGAAATTTAACAAATATATATGTATATAACAGAATATAACTGTTAGGCTAGAAGCATATAGAAAAATGTAAGCAGCAAAACTTTTGCACTAAGCAAATTGACCAATTGCAATCGATTATTTTATATAGTACACGTATATTCCACAAAATACACGTGTATGCGTGGGGGAGGGGCTCCCCCCGCACCTCCTCCCCAAATAATTAACCCTAACCAAATTTATCATGTACGGTTTAGAATATTGCATTAGATAGAACGGCGAGGTGTTCCTTAAAATGCATAATTATCTATATTTCTATTTTAAACGGTGATAATGATTTTTTAATGTCGTATATGAGTGCTGAAATCGATAGTTCATATTTCAAGTGAGAAACTACGATATAATGTTTACAATTTCTGTATTATGTTAAATTCTGACAGATTACATTACACGATAATGTCATTCGATCGATCGACAATTGAAATTTGTACTGTTGCAAGATCTCACATATGGAATAATCATTATTTATCTTTTTCTATAACACAGAAAGCTTCTTTCACGAATCTCATACAACGTTCGCAAGTTATCAGGATTATTATCCTCCAAAATAAGCGTAATTATAGCGTAACAAATATTATGGACCTTGATATTTGGTCATTCAATATTTATGTTAACATTTTGTAATCAAAAGCGATGATATTTCATACAATTTACAATAAATTTGCAATGTAAATGACGAATATAGAATTAATTTCTTTTTTTCTACTTTTTCTTTTGATCAAAGATAATATTCGTCCACGTACGTCACTGAAATGACTCTGATTGTCTCAAGGATCTTATGAATTACCCTTATGAATTATCCTTATATGATAATGTCCGCGACGTTGTCATTAGTCAACGTAAATGTTTATCGCGATACATTAGCGTTAAACGATTTTCAAATAGTTCCCATACATACGGCATATTATAATTGGCTTATTATAATTTCTATTATGTACTAAGTGTACAATCGCGAATAGTGAAGCTTAAGTGCACAAAATTGACGAAGATCTGAGGTTTTAAAATATTTTTAACATGATAGTGACTCATATTTGACATCTGAAATTTCAATGTAACGAGTATAATGAAAGCAATGCGCAGTAGATCTTTTTCCCTTATTCTAGCATCTGCATAAATCGTTCGAATTATTCCAATTCTTCAATGTAGCACGCAAAATTGCTCTTAATACGATCTAATAGCATTTGAAACGAGGATCGATTTTTCTTTTTTCGTTGGCAAATTGTAAATCATTTCAATAGCACGTGAACGAACATTATTATTGACTAGAAGAAAAACAGAAAAAAGAAACTAATTCTACACTCGTAATGTAAATTGCAAATATATTGTACGAAATATTCATTCAATATAGAACAAATATATTATTAAACTACAACTAGAAAAAAAAGATTTGATTGAATTAACCAAACATCTGGTCGAATATGAACGATCCAGAAATTCCGATTGAAGTAACCCGAATTCTGTTTAAGTTAACAAGATTTTTGATAGACTAACCAAACATGTCTGGTTATTTAACCAGATAACTTAAATAGAATTCGGGTTACTTCAGTCGGAATTTCTGGATTGTTCATATTCGACCAGATATTTGGTTAATTCAATCAAAATTTTTTTTTCCGTGTAGTACTCATAGTTATCCGTTATTAGGCTGATATATTAAACCCCGCGTCACATATTATTTATTTTACCTTCTTTAAAACTGATTTAACGTGATTATTTTACATATAATCAGAAACTGTAATTGCGTATATCGTGTCAAATTTATTAAAATATTGAACAAAATAGACGAGTCACAAAAATAGCAGTTAATAAGTCATGCTTTTGAATAATTCTATTGAAAATTACAGCGTAGAATAATAGGGTAATTTGCGTGAAAGATGTACGAAGAAACCCGTTTGTCGATACTGTATGCCGGAAGTTTTACTGAAGGAGAACGCGCGCGAGAACATCGTCGGGCACTTTGATTCGAGCGGAGCATATTATTCAGTACGTCGAAATGTTTGTATCGATAAATGCCCGATGCGCACCAATACCCTGTAATTAACATACCTTTATTGAAAATAAATAACATGATATCATCATACTGTTTGCTGGATGGTACATTGATTGGTACATTGATTGCAATGTTCCATCTCACTAACGGTTTATACCAGCATTATCTATTGACAGAATAACTTTGTGCGAAAACACAATCGTGTTATTATTCAAATGCGATGTGGTACGGCATATTTCCGTTTTTCTTGATTACATTTTACTCTTTAACGCAGATTTCTGTTGAATTCTGTTGGTGCAACCGAATTTTCGGTTGCTCAGGGATCAGACGAAAATTCGACTGTAGGAACAAAAAAATTCCTTTATGAGACTTCTGTATAGACAATTGTTCTCAGTTGTCTCAATCGAGTTCTAATATCCTTGAATGTTCAGACGAATATTTTCGATTGCGACAACAGAAATATTAGTTTTCATAACAGAGATATCGTTTCTGATCACCTAATTTTCAGTTGGTTCCTATTTGGTTGCACCAACTGAAATTTTTTTTGCGTGTAAGAATACATTTAAGATTTCATTAAGAATTCATAAGATTTTATTTGAAAACCGGCTTACGGATATTTGCATTTATGTGCATTAACGTCTATTAACACATTGATATTTACATGCGCATGACGTCACAATTTGTGACTGCACTGAGTTCGCTCGAACGAGTTTTGTTCATTCAAGCCAAGTCTCACTAACTCAAACACTTTTTTCCCAATGAAGTTACCTTTTCGGGAGCCTGGGACCGAATACATCAGATCATTGAACTCTATATCCACCGCGGCCATTTTCGATAAATGCGACATTCGTATGGGATCGTCATTTTTTAAGTCATTTTTTACACCTTCGTTGATTCCCTTCGCATTGTTTTCCGGGATAAGCTCCATGATGATTCCGACTGAGATTCCAAGAACAATTTAGATTCAATTCACCACTGTCATTATCCGATATACTCCTTCGTGGTGCAACGGATTGTTCAGCATCGACGGAGAAGTAACACACGAGGTAGCTGGAACCAAATACACATCGTGTTATCACGACACAGTATGTGTGGAACGAGGAAAAAACAAACAGTTAAAAATATCTTTCGGTATCTATACAGACAGATTGATAAACAATAATGCGATTCGACGACGCTTTTCTTTTATAGATCGGAAAAGAAATTCACCTCGTACGTTATTGAGTTGGAAATATCGGCCTGGAGTGAGAATTCCTATAATAGAATAATGCGATTTACACGATAGACCACATAGAGAATGGACGATTCAAGGTGAATGACGATGAAACAGGTTATACGCATGCGTATCCCGTAATTCTGTGTGGAACTTTAGACTGACATGTTCGATCGATCGTTTGATGTTAGTTTATGGTCATTATTATGGTTAAATAATTCTAAATGTGTTTTTGGGAGTTAAGGAGTTTATCGATTTTGAGCAATTTATGATTAATCTAGACCGCCGAGCTAGATATTTTATTGGTCTGATGTTGGTTTTGACGAAAGAGCCTTATAAATAGCTACGATTGATTCTGCGCGGAATAAAGTTTTCTAAGTTTGAACGGAAGTTGCAATTACATGGCCTATGTTGTCTATCTTGCGTCAAATAATTTACCTTTGTTCACTCGGTTTCCATTAGTCATGCATAACCGCGAAGAGTTTGATTCTTTTGTTTACTATAGCATTTCGAATACAATGAATTCTCACATTACAGTTTACTCGTTTGCTCTTTGCTTCCGCTTCACTCGCTTATTCTTTACTTTCAGTTCGCTATTTTCGGGAAGTTTATTCGAATTTTTATAACAGCGTTATTGTATTAAAAAAAAAATTAACACTTTGACAACCGCCGTTACGTATACATGACTTTAGTCTGCCAACGGTTGTCGCATTGTGAAGAAATATTTTTCGATAATAATAATTTGTAATTGTAACATTACAAGAGTCGTGTACAGCGGATGTGCGGATTTATGAGCTCTTATGAGATTTATAAGATTTGTGAGATTTATGACATTTATTGATGCTAATTTAAAATTTTTGTTATATGAGTGCAGTCAAAGCGTCAAAGTGTTAAGACTGTGTTGTGACTGTCTGTTATATTGTATTTGATATTTTGCAGAAGACTCAGCTTAAACGTTTTCGAGATTTAATCTGTATGTTGATTTGTATTTGTCAGTCACTTGACAAATTACATTTTAATCATGCCCGTTTATGTCATTTATTTTTTTCTTTTTTTCATGAAATATGACTAAGTCATCAATGTATTCAATGCACTAAATTCCACAAATTAAAGAGATATGTTCATTATCTTCGTACTTTGAAACTAAACAAAGTGATAGAAAGACAACATAGATAAAAAGTCATGAATTCACGAGATTGAAAAAGTATATAAAGTTGAAAAATCTAGAATATTATAAATGCATGTAAACTATATTATTTTTATAGTTTTTATCGTTTTCATGGTTTCTTTATATATACAGAGAAAATATAGTATGAAAAATTACATTAAGATTATATTTTATTTTACAATTTTTTCGTAAAAGTTGAGCTATATACTGACATGTAGTATAAATTACTATAGAAATAGTATAAATGTAATATAAATTACTATAGAAATTCGACGATGTATATATGATATAAAAAACATTTTAAGTGGTATATACATATTTTGGGTAAAAAAATTGATTTTTTTCATATTTTAAAAAGTTGATGTGTCTAGAATGTGTCAGTAAAACTGTTTTTCGAAATTCTGTAAATTATAGAAGATACAACGCTTTAGGCAGCTTACGCTAGGCCTTCGTTTGAGCGGCATTCAGTTTGAAATGCTGTCGGTTTTAAAAAGTCTTAAATATTCTTTCTATTGTTCGTTATCGATCCTAGCGTGATATTTAAAGTCTCGAAAAACTAAAGGCATCTGTGGAAAGAACAAATTAACTACGAAAATGGTCGACAAACTCATCTATATTACGGTCTTGCAATTCGCAGGAATCATTATTCCGTTGAAAAAGATGCGAAATGCAATTTGGGCAACATTTAATCATTACAGTTTGACAACAGAAGAACTACACCATGAACTTTGTCCCAAAGGCATCGATTCTTGGTGCGAGTGGCAACAAGCAAAAGCTAACGACACTTTGAAAAACTATATGCAAAGTTTTAACATCTTTCCTTCTGATGTTTTGAAGGCGATTTGTCCGATTTACAATGATCTTTCAAAAGAAGAATTGCTGAAATATTATCTTAGCGGATTCATTCAAAATTCAAACAAAAGTTTGAATAATTTGATCTGGAGAGTGGCCCAAAAAACGACTAGAAGCAGTGCTGAAATAGTAACAATTGGATCAAATATTGCAGTTTGCTTATTCAATGAAGGAATAGCATCACTATTAAAAATGATGCACACGATGGACATTATAGTTGATCGAAATACGTCACAATATGCGACTTTTCATAATAACCACCGCGTGATTCAGGTAATTATCCGCGCGCAATATGCGGCATATATTTTAGAGACATGTACGAAGGCTTCAAAAAAACTAACTGGAGGATAACTTCGTTATTGTTGAAGATCTTTTTTATGGATAAAAAATAGACGATAATATGTAAGTTGGAAAAAAATAATATTATCTATATGTAAACTTATTGCAAAACTTCAAACGCGTTTTTCTCGAAACCATGTTTCTCAAACTGAGCATGGATTTTTCTCGAAAATCATGTAACCGATTTGAACGGGGGTTTTTTTCTTACCTATTCTACATTAAATTTTTCACATTCTATCGGAGATGCTTATTTTTATTTTTTCTATAATTTTCTTACGTTATAGAATGAAAATTTACCCGAGAAATTGATATCAAAGTTTCAATAGTCCGTTATTTTGTTAAAAATCAATATTTTTAAAATACCATCCGATAGAATGTGTAAAATATTATAACTTTTAAAAATATTTTGGTTTTTTTGTTTTAGATAAAGCATGCAGAAGATTTTTCCGTACCCAACAAAGATAAAATTTCAGGAAGGGCTAAAGACGTTTGCGCACACACGGCTGTATACTGCAAAAAATAAATAAACAAAAATATGTAAAAGTATTATTTCTTAAAATATGTAAAATATGTAAAATAGGTAAAATATATAAAAGTATTATTTCTTCTTGTCTATCTATGATCGCACTTTCTTAGTTATTTGATCAAATATAGTAGGAGATTCGTACTTTAAGCCCTAAAAACCGAACATACTATCGTTTTTAGTTAAGTACAAAAAAATTCATAAAATATGCTGATTTTTAAGACTGAGATATGTATATACCTCTTTAAATAATTACAATAATTTTGTAAGAAAGAGTCAAACATGCATAACATTTTTAAACAAAGAATATTTTTGATCAAAATTCTATATGATCTAAGATTACAAAATTTTGTTGTAATTTTTACTATAATATTTTTTCTGTATAGTTCGTTGTATTATTTCTTCCTCTCTATCTATAATCGCATTTTCTTAGTTATTTGATCAATTTTTCTGATACGAAGCACATACAAGTTTTCTCATGGACGCTTACTTTCTGAATCACATTATATTTAGTAAATAGGAGCAGAGCTCTTCGACCTTCGATTCGCTCAATATATTTTGTATTATCGATTCGTTCAATAATTGATACAAATTTTACATGCTTCTATAAATTTTACTACGGTTTATAAATTTTACTACAATCCTACTGAATTCAAATCGAAGTAAATCGAAGAGCGTCGTTGTACCAAACTTCTATAAAGAAAATGTGTCAAATTCATCAAACTTCTAAAAAGATACGGCAAAATCTCCAGATCACATGTGTTCACTGATAAAAAGTTTAAAAACTATCAGAATTTGCGGTTACGCGGGTAATTATTTTTAAATTAAAGTATTTGTAAGAAGTGCGCACACGCGAACTCACAAATTGACGCTTACGGGCAGTCTTTGTCTCGCACAAGTGAAGATTTCCCGTCAATTTCTATCTATGTCAAACTCACCACGTTGTCACCAGAGGCACAATATCACAATGCTATCCGTGACTGAAGGATCGTGCGAATATGTCGATCGTTAACTGCCAATTAATACGAGGCAACAGTTCACCGCGGCAACCGAAGCAAGACCGAGCACCAAGTTAGTCGAAGACTGAGACCGCCTCCAACAACGACGGTAGACTGACTTGGAAATAACATGGGCTGCTCCCCTACAGCTATATCTATCTCTCTGTCGTGCATATGTACCATGATTCGCCGCTTTGGTATTGGACAGACACGCGCGTACAGTAGATGCCAACATTTACTATGTTACAGTCGGTACATAGTGAAAATACTAAATGAGATATTTTGGAGTCGTACTTTAAAGGAAAAAATACAGTATAGGAGTTTAAGATGGTATTTATAATATGTAATTTTTATGACACAGAAGACACATTCAAACTTAAATAAATGAATCGTTACTGAATGAATGATACTATGACGAGGTAAAGACGTTGCCCATAGTGAAAGTTAATATTTAGAATGTCAATTAATAAAGTTCATAAAAGTTCATGAAGATCTGCTTATCAATAAAAAGAAACAAACGATTCACGTAAATTCAACAAAATAGCACGATTTATGTCGCACATATTCGTTAAATTATTATTTTTCCATTGAATTTAAACATTAACGAGCGTTGTTACTAATGTTTTGTTCGTCATATATTTATATTAAGGTGTTTTATCTTTTGGCATAATTGCAAAATGAAGCTAATTACTTCCTATTGCAGTAAGTATTACGAAAAGCTCACTTCTGCAATGATTAAATGTAAAATTGTGATAAATTATTATTTTAGAATTAATTCTGACAATATCTGAATTTACATTTGTACATTTTATTGTTGCAGCTAAAATTGATATGATAAGATATATCAATATATAGTTATTGAACGTGATTAAGCTTGTTATATATTATTTATAATTACATAATATATCAGAAATCGCATAGTATTAAAACATGTTTCATCTTTTTAGTATGTAAATATACAGTTTTTAAATATTTCTTTTGTGTGCCAAGTTCGGCAAACTGAGCATAATGTCTTGCTGTATTAAAAGACGGATGTACGTCTACACCGTCATGTAAGCGATAAACTGCGATAACCGTGTCGAAACACGCATGGGTTTGAAATAATTATTCTGTTGTAGCGCGTATTACTTAGGGAGACGGTTGAAAAAAATATACATTTTTTTAAAAAGAGAGAATTACAAAAGTGTTAATTTCCTTTTTTTCCTATTCTTTTATTTAGAATTTATAACGAACTTTTATAAAATGTACATGCAGCGACAAGACGAATAGACTTAAATTTCAAAATAATATTCTATTGTCTTTCGAATTTCATTTTTTACATTGACAGAAAAACAAGCTTTTAAAAATTAAAGCGTGTTTCCTCTGATTAATTTAATCACACATAACGTGTTACACACATATCATGTATGTTTATCAAATGCTGATCAACTAGACCAACTAGTTTTGTTAACTATGTGAACACTGTCGATGACTTATGTGAATATATGTTTTTGTAAATATGAAATTAAAATACTAAAATAAAAATTAAGTGAAAATAACTAAATAATTATTTAATTAAAAATAAATAAATAATTAATTAAAGTAACTAAAATAAAAAAGAGAATACATTTACATAAACGTTTGCATACTTTGTCCATACTTTGTCGATAGAGGATACTTACACGTTGAATCTTGAAGTCTTTTCATTACTGTTTACTCATTACTGTTTTTTATTTTTATGTGTTTTGATTTTTGAAAGTTTGTTTTTTGTCAATGTAAGAAATGAAATTTGAAAGACAAAAGAATATTATTTTGATATTTAAGTCTATTCAACTTGTCGCTGCATGTACATTTTATAAAAGTTAATGGTAAATTCTAAATAAAAGAGTAAGGAAAAAAGGAAATTAATGCTTTTGTGATTCTCTCTTTTTAAAGAAATACATATTTTTTTGTCTTCCTAAGTAATACGCGCTACAATAGGATAATTATTTCAAACATGCGTGTTTATTACTGTTCATTACTGTTTTTTAATTTTCGACGAATTCTAACTCTAAAATTGTAACAAAGAGTCTAGTGTATCACTATATTGCTCGAGAAATTTATAGATTTTTACGAATGCTGTCAATGCAATACTTCGATTCTTGGTATTAATATGTATGGTATGCATGTCATATAAAAGTATTGAAAGATAATTATTATGATTTTCTTCTTCTTCCTCTTCTTCAATTTGACCCAATTTGATATAAGTATCACTGACTACATCATACCCGTTGTGGTTTTATTATTCTTTCGTATATCATTTACGTGCGTCGTAATATTTCTTATAACTTTAATCTGTAGTAATCACGAAACAGTCATATATACAGTATAAGTAATATAATTGCTTTAACATTCATAACATTCCGCAAAAACTGCGAATACGTCTGCATTTAATAGGCAATAATTATACAGTAATCATAGAAATAATAATTTCTACATATTACGTAGCACGTATGATGTAACATGATAACTAAAGACAAAATAGGAATTTCTTTTTTACAGAAATTTGTATTTGCAACAATTAACGCTATTATATCTCAACTGCTGTATCAGGTTACTGAGGTATTATGCAGCCATTTTATTTACACAATCGCTCTTATAAGAAATCTTGAGCTAGAAAAAAATAGATGACTGTGAGAGCAATATGTAATTTTCAATTATAACATTTCAAATGGTCGTTAATGCAACAATCGATATTACAAAGAAATTTAGTATATAAGTACTATAAATATAAGATTTTTCTGTGTGCATAATTAATAATAATAATTATTATTATTAAGTTATGTTGAGTTATGATGAATGCCGATAATTTTTTTGATATTTTATTTTCATCACACGTGCACGCACATATGCATACGTATTCACACAGTAAATAAACACATAGAAAAAATGTAAAATAGAGATAAAAATTATATAGTAAAAATGAAAGGAATTTATAATCATATGCCCAGTAAACAAATTGAGCATAGACTGCGCGCAGATTGGCAGCAAATTTGATCAAAAACCCATAGCAAAACCATAGCCATCTGTGTCTACATTAGACTACGGTTTTGGCGACAGATTTTGCTGTCGGACAATTGGTGCCAAATTTGCAGCAAAAACTGCGCAAAGCTTGCAGCGCAGCAGGTCTGCGCGGTTTCTGCCGCCAATCTGCCGTCAAATCGCTACAAACTCTGCACGGTTTTTGCTGCAAATCTGCAACAATTATCCGACAACAAGCTCTGCCGTATATATGGCGGTAATTTGGCAGTAAGATTTGATATAACAGATCCTGCATTAAATTTGTTATCTATTTGCCATCAAAAGTTGATAACAAGCTCTGCTCGAAAGCTGTTCGCACAGGTTTGGCTATCTGGGTGAAGTATTGAAATAAAAAATGGTAAAAGTCAGCTTCTTCTCTAATTTAAATTGACATAACAGACAAACAGCTGCTCTGTGTCTCTCTCTATCTGTAATGCCAACTCAAATTAGAAAAACAAAAATTAAGTTATAACTTTGCTCTCAACGGCTCATATATCATACGATTATAACGCACAAGCGTTAATTGTTTATGAGTTGCTCTTTGAACCATAACTTTTTATTCTCTTATATTCAGGAAATAAATTTATTTAATAAATAATTTTGAGTATACTTATCTAAAAATCTAAAGATAATCGTTGATTTCAGAATGAATAATATGTATATGGCAAGATTGATAATCTAATATGTAAATAAATTATTTCATATAAAAATAAATATGTTTAAAAATATGTGGACACGCGCATATTATAAATTGTTTTTTCAAACTTAATTTTCATCAACTAATTCTCTCTAAGAAGGAATTAAAAATTGAAAAATTTATTGTTTCTGTATTTATTTTTATTGCCTTAAATGCAAAGAATTATTTTCTTATCAGGTTCATTCAACTTGATACTGATACATTGATACTGATACATTGTCAAGGGATATCCATACTTAATGAATATAACTCAAAACCATGATAACGTCACTCTACTATTGTATATGTAGAGTGATTACGAGATAGCAAAATTTATACCATAAAGTCCACTCTTGTAATGAAGTAGCACACTTTATATATATATATATATATTTTTTTTTTTTTTTACGAAAATTTGTTTGCATCTGTAATATATCTGTATCCCCCCTCTTTTTCTCTTAATAAATGGCTCTAAGTATCATTAGAACGATTGCCCGAAAGAGAGAAAGAGAGAACGCTAGGTCCTCTTAATAATATTGTATTAAAAAGTATCGAAATATTATAACAAAAATGTAATCAATTTTTATTTGCAACACTGCACTGTCCGTTCTTCAACACTAGTAAAGTATCGTGGTAAAAGTGTATTGATAGAGAAGTAAATTTTAAAAAAATAGGTATTCACGGAATTTTATGTAATAGCAACCATTGAAATTGTTTAATATTATCCAAGATTAATGTTAATAAAATTCATAACATATATTAAAATTACGACCGTATCTCGTTAAACGCAACATTCACCCGATTTTTTTAGAATAAGTTACTTAGTTATGCATATTGTATTTTTTAATAGTGTTTTAATATTTTAGTTTAGATGGCATTTTAATTTTACATTTTTATATTCTTATATGTTAAAAAGTAATAGCTTTAATATAATTTCTCCAGTTTTGATATATGTTTACTTCTCCTGGAGTTTTATTTGCTTCTGCACTTGTATATTGGTATTTTTAAAAGTCTACTTAGTCTGCTTAAAGATTTACTAAATTCTTCTTACTAAATCGTAAGAAAAGATGAAGGAAAAGAAATAATAATTTATTAATTGAAACTTATCATTAGACGTATTACGAAAAGCATATTTTATTCGTATCATACATGCAGTATAAATTGTAGCAACGATTATGTCAAACTAGTACAGGTATATACATCTCGATGCAATTTCATATTTTACAAAAGTATGCCTATTAGTAGCCGATTATGCATTTGACTTATTCTTCACTGTTCGTTTTATTTAAGTTATTACATACATATATGACAGAGAGTAAGTTGTATCGGCTATTGGCGATCGCATCGAGCGCGAGTCTCTCATTAGATATTAAGCAGAAACATAATACGCGTCGACGTGATCGCCAAGTGGAACTTACCCGTCGTAATTGTTGTCGTTCTTTTGAACGCCAAAATTATATTAGTACAAAATTATATTTGTAGTAAAAATTCGTCGAGTGTCATTAAGAAAAATATACATGAGCAACGTTATGATTTAAAACCGATCAACTTTGGTGAATCGTGAGAACGATCGTGAAATTCATATTAAAGTGCCATTTTCCAGTTGCACATATTTTCAAAAGTTCTGTACTCTCTGAGGTGTAACGACTCATTATTAAAAAAATTAATTATTAAACTCTCATTATTAAAGATCACTCATTATTAAAGATTGGAAGTTTACGCTTGATTCGAACGGCACTCTTATTTTCTGCATATATGAAAAATCGTCGTTACGAAAAATGATCATTTACGAAAGTAACGCGTTTTTTCTTGGAAAAATACACGTCTATTAAGATGATCCATTTGATCCTTCTACTTGAGGAAATACAATGTTCACATCGATTCACGCACATTAAAAATATGATACAATTACACGATAACGCACGCAGTAGTAATTCACCCATAATATTCGTGATAGTCGTAAGCTCTTACGAGAGCGCACAAACGCTCGTCTCGACATTATGTATCAGGACCGCCCTACTTTGTAAAATGTGTTAGCAACATTGGTCTTCCATGTATAATTAATCTGGCAAGATAGACTCGTGCGCTCGCAAATCTGGACTTCAAACATATCTGAAGCGCACAAGCATTCGCATTTGTTTTATCTAATCTTTTGTTTTTTTTTTTTGCATCATTAAGCTCACAGCCATTGGTGGATAAAATAAAGTGGTCACTCGTGAAACACATCATCAATTAAAAACTCGTATTCATCCACAAAAGTAGATATGATCGAGAGTGATCGGTGAAAGTCCTCCAGCCTTCCAAAGATCACGATCGATGCTTTCGCTTCACTCTTACGTTGTGCGATAATTGTGTCGCATGATGTACGCTCCGACTTAGTCAACGATAGATCCAAGATAGACGCGCGTATTTGGTTGCATTCTGACGAAAGTATTACTGACGTATAATAGGAAAGAAAATATACAGAATATAAAGAAAAATACCCTGAACAAATAACGTTCCTTCGTAACGGATTACGACGGATTCGTAAATTACGCGGATGTTACAATCGTAACTACCAGCCGTCGTCGTGTGTAGATGTGTGTATGTAGTATGTGTATATGTGTATGTACGTTGTGTATGTATTACTAAACTAAAGATAAATAAGTTACATTAGTGTTATTCCTACCAACTAAACTCAGCAACCCTAAGCACGAAGGAGAATAAATCATACTTTGTGGTACATTCGAGACGTACAGTACCCCTTCGACAGAAAATATTTAATCTTTCGCGAGGGTGCTCGCCAAGAAATGCCACGAAAATCCACTGTTTGCACAAATAGCTTTTGTTCTGTTGCCGCTGCGATACGCTGTAACTCGAATCCCCGTCGTTGTATAACTATCATATCGAGATTACCGATTATACATGCATACGTGTCCGTCGTTGCTAATATCGTAACTATTTCTATCGAGAACGCAACACCATAATACCACATTCATACGCAACCTTCTCATCGCACTTAAAAAACACTCCACTAGACGATCTATCGGGCGTTCTTGATTTTCCAACGGAGGAAGAGATACGCAGCGATTCGTAGCACGACGAATATCAACAGGAGGGCGAGAATGTCGAGAGTGAAGTCAGCGTTGAGCATGTCAAGCTCCTCCAACGTCGTTTGCGGATCTTTAAAGTGGCAGTACACCTGGAAACACGCCGGATATGTAAATCCAACAATCGATCGACCCAAATTCGACAACAAGATTCTGAATGTCGTGTCGATTTTACCTGGGAACATTTCAATTTCTGCCGACCGAAGCCGTAAACGGTCAAAGCGGTTCCTTCGAAACCATATCTGATGTAGCTGACATAAGTAATCCATCGTAGATAGACCGGAATCGCGTCAAAGCTGACGAAGAACCCTGAGAAGAGGAGGAACGGCACCGACATCACCGGCGCCAGGAACACGCCGTTCTGCACGTTCATCGCGGCACCGACGACGAGGCCGACTGATTGCGCGACGAAAGAGATTAGTAGACATATGGCCAAGAACATGGAGAATCGTGTAAGGTCTGCCGGTTGACTAGTGAGGAAGTACACGATGGAAAGATATATGAGACAAAATATCGTCTGGAAATAAGAAGACAACGTGTAAATCAATCTTGCTTGCTTCGGCAACGTACCGCGGGTGAACTCCAATCTATACAACATGGACTTCGTATTCGTCAGCTATATTTTCTTCTTTTTCTTTTAATCTAAACATTTTACCTGGAATGGTATGTCTGAAATGGTTATTGCGAGGTAATACGACTTCAAAGAGTACCATCTGTTGAAGTTCTCCTTCAAGAGTACAGGCAGTTCCAGTGGGACTAAAAACAAGACAGATTTACATACCACGTGAAATGCGAGGTTGATATACATCAAAGTCAGACTACTTACAGGATAAAATAGTGATTGTCATGGAAGTATACATAAGAAACAGCATGTTGAAGAATAGGAATCCCAGATTACTAAGTACTTTGGCGCCATCGTTTCCGATGTCATAGTATAATGCGCTGATCAAAAATGCTACTAAAAGGTGAGCGAAGAACCGTAGCCACATAAGAGTCTGCGAAATTACATATCACGAATAAGTTTTACAGAATTTAAGAAGCGCAAAAGTAAGAAAGGAGGTAAGAAAATATCTACCACATAATATCTATCGCATAGTATCTAGGAATAAAAGAATATTCAGTCGACACGCGCTGAGAATACGAATTTGTTGAATTTACGACTGTCGAGGGAAGTCTGTCGGCTCTTTTAAACACCCACCCAATCTCTACGACTGAAGAGGAAAGCACGTCTCAGGATGATGTAGAATTGCATCCATTCGGATGTAGGATACCTCTCTGGCGCCACTGCGATAGAATCCTCGAGCAGTGCCACGTTGACGTTGTCCTTCTTATCCGTGTCAACGGGTATCGCAACGTCCATCACTAAAATGTTAATCGCCCGTTAGTTCCTTCGCTATGTCGTTATGCGTATCTTTGCGAATACCTAATGCGTCAGCATAAATTTCATGTAACAAAACGTTCGTGCGACAGAAGCAAACAGGTATTGTTTGAATGAAGTGGGAAAAAGTGAGCGCCAACAATTACGTTACGCGTCACCGCGAGAAATGGTACGCTTTAACCCAGATAAACGTATATATTTTGGCTTTTATATTGTCTGCTTAGTGACTACTGCAAGTACGTAAAAGTGTGTCATGCAACATGAATTTTATCAATACATGAAAGAAGTCATCTGATGCCATGGAAATTGCTGCTTATTTTGCTGGGAAGAGAACGCAATTGGTCCAAAATTATTATAGTAATAGATAAATATTCTTATTAGAATTATGGCGCGATAAGCGGGATGTAGTAGTTTTATCTCTTAAAATAAGCATATTTTAAACACGTTGTGCTAATATTACAATAACATCACAAAATACACATTAAATGTCTACATGCTACGTTCATCATGTTTGTCTATCTAAAGAGCGGCTTGATACACATCATTATTGTGTCACATTAGACACGTAATACCTTGTTTAGCGATGTCATTTGTGGCATAGTCGGATATGAGTTTCCCATTGCTAATATCGGTCGGCTTGTTCTCCGGATACTTGTCTTCTAGATTACTCACGTCGTTCTTATCTTTCATCTTCGCCTTCTCTATACCGTCTGTGCTTTTTAGGATACCGGTTGCAGCGGTGGAATTGTTCAATCCATCCTTCAGTTCAGGAAACGACTGTCCCTCGCGAATATTATATTTGCCATTGTTTATAGAATTTACCAAATTCTTGATGTTGTCGCCGTACTCGCCGCATGATACTTCAATGACTGAAAAGCAAATCGAGGAATTCTGTGATGGTAACAACAGAAGACGGGAATATTTCAATTCATTGCTAATACAATTTTGACGACAATGTAGTTTTTTCGAGTTTAACTATTAATTTAATTATTTTCTGTATATCGATATGGAAGAAAAAAGTATTTATACATAATATTATCTTCTCTAACATTTTTCGTCTCAGCACAACATATCCTATTATATAGAAAAAGTATTGTAATAAAATTTATGTTAAAATTATATTCTTTTTTACAAAAAAATTCCTTTTTACAATGTGTGTCTTTTGTAAAGTTAGACTAATGAAATCGTAGTATTAAGTACTATAAAAATATAGTTAATTTGACGATTTACTAAATATACGATATAAAAAATATTCAAATAATTGTAATAATTATATAGTAAAAAGCAAACATGCATAATGTATAATATTTTTAAACAAATATATATATAAAATATAATATTATTATATAATAATTTCGATTATAATTTTTACTACAATATTTCTTCTCTATATAGATATTAGCATTAAAGAAAAAGCCATTTGACAAAACTTACTAAACGACGCCGGGTTATGATAACTTGGGCAATTAAGACCAATTGTCCTTAAGAACGGCACCAGTTGCGATGTAACGCCCTGGTAGACGCATTGACCTTCAGCTAAAGTGTATAGAGAATCGAACATCTCGAAAAGCCTCGCGCTCGGCTGGTGAATAGTACAGACTATTGTTCTGCCACCACGTGCAAGAGTCTTCAATAACGAGATACATTGGAAGCAAGATGAGGAGTCCAGGCCGCTGTAAACCAACCGGATAACACCAATTAGTATTGCCGCACGGTCATGCTTAAATCTCCTCGTTTTTCTCCCGTTGACCCTTATGCAAGTATGAAACGAAAGTTCGTAGCAGGAAAGAGAAAAGGTTATTGCAGCACGTCTCCGTCAAAAACACGACTGTATCACAATTTCACGTGATCCCTTCGTAATCGCACGGAAAATGTTAGATTGAGGAACATTTTTGTTATCTGTAATTGATATCCGTGAATTGATAGGTACACGATGGAAAGTTGAAAAGACCCTGAGTAACGACAAGATTTAAACCGGCGCTAATTCGTCGGTGTTTTCTTTTTGGAAGCAAGTCCCCGGCGTAAGTTATAACGGCCACTAGTCGAACCGGTTGTGCTGATCATCTTTGATGTTGTATCCCGGCATAAGGAACTATTAAAACTTTTTTACTTTAAGGAACTTAAAAACCTTCTAGAACCGGTTGGGAACAAGAAATGATTCTGCGGAAACGTTTGATATGTATCAAGGTGCAAGATTTTCAACTATTAACATATCTCGCGACGCAAATGCGGAATCTTTTTTGCGTCATTTTTATGGTTAGAGAAAAACCGACTATATCAGATCATCTAGCGAAATAGTCGCGTTGAAAGATCACAGTACAATCTATGGCAATAATGCATTCGACATCTACACAATACTCATGTAAAAATCCGACGTATAGTGAAAGTGTCTGGCGAGAAGAAAAAAGTTTCAAAAACGGGACATTGATCATTTACTTTCACCGGCATTATGTGCTCTCTTATGTTCTGTCTCAAGAGACTAAGTGAAATGTCCCAGACATTTCTTCAGAGCTTTTATATCCAATCTGCTTGAAGTTCAAGGGTGTATAGAGATCTGATATAATACATTAAAATGTAAATAAATGTACTGGTGTCCCAAATTCGTTTCCGCAACGTTCGTCGAAACGTAGAACGGATTGAGATGAACATAAAATACCGTTTTGTAATATTTGCAATAAATCTCGAGGTATTATTTAATTAAAGAAGATTAATAAATGATCACATGCGATATGATAAATAAACTATAATACCGCCATATACTTATACATTAGATAAAATTGAACAAAAAAAGTCCTTTGCCATTTTGCAAATAACGACATCGATTTTTGAATATTAATTAAAGAAGATTTGTGCATTATTGCGCACAATTATGTAACAATTTTCTTTCATTAATAACTAAAAATCTATGTGGTTATCTGCAAAATGATATAGGACTTTTCACTTGTTCAATTTGACGTAATGTACAAGCACACAACAGCACACATCGCCACTAGAGCTCATCTGCTATCGTGTCAATCTTCTTTAATTAATATCTCGAAATACGTTCTACGTGCCCACGAACGTTGCGAAGACGAATCTAGGACACTCTGTATATATTTCGATACAATTGAAAATACAAAGTTCAGTAATTGAAGTAGCCCTAATAACTTGATTGATTTTGCATAATGAGACTGCTACTTATAACAGATTATTGTCAAAGTAAAATTTGCAATACCGATTTCACAAAGTCACAACTCCGGCACGTGATAGACACATGAAAGCTGCGAAGAGAAACTCTGTGCGGGACGCGTGACGTTTGCTAAAACCTGCAAAATTCGCGCATTTCCGCGATCCTGACAAGCGCGGCAAGTTCATTCTGCTGACATTGGCCGTGCCGACATTCGATCGGGGAATTTACATAAAGGCGGGATAAAGTTTCTTTCACAGAAGCATCGATCAACGAAAGCGAAAGGTATCGATGATAACGTTTGAGTCGTTTTACCAAAGCCTTTGCAATAGAACACGAATATTTTATAATATTTTACAATATTTTACGATATTTTAGATATGTTCTTCCTTTTTATGCATTCCTTTTCACTACTATTAACAATACCTTATTCAGTTCACAAAATGTCGTTTATCCCGAAATCACGAAATAATTATATGCTGGCGAGTGGCGATAAAGAGTGATTTAACAATAACATATCCCGATTACAACATCAATTGCGCAATCAGTAATATTTCTAATATTTTTATACAATGCTAATATTTCAGAACTATAAAAATGATCTATAGACGATTTACTAGTGTGATGATAATAATTTACAATTATTAACTCGTGCGAAATATGAAACTCACCTAGTCGGCTCGTCGAAAAACATTATAGGGGGGTTGTTGACTAACTCAAGAGCGATGGAGAGCCTCTTCTTTTGACCACCACTCAGGTTCGAGGTCATTGTATAGCGGTGCTCAGACAGACCGAGAGTCTCAAGGATTTCTTGAATCTGAAATAGAAAATGTCAATGAATCATTAGCAATAGATTAATTACAGCTTTTTAATTTATTAATTGATATTCTTCTGCTTGACAATAAATGTATTGTGTTGTACGAATAGAAAAAGAAAAAGATACGCGAACTGCGCGTATCTTTTATCATTTTTACCGCGAATCCCGCGATATAAATGATAATTAACTCTACAATTTTGAGTAAAATTTTGTTGAACGAACGATATATTACCCGATATAGTAACGATATAGTAACTATACTGCGAGAATACGATAAAAACTTTTACCATGAACGTATAAAACTATTTCGCAAATGTAATCTCATGTCAAATGTTACATTTTGTCTCAAATCTTTTAAGACCAACTAATCTGATAAGAGAGTCAACTTACCACTTCTTCTTTCTCCACTTTATTGACGTGTGAACCAAGCTTAAGATTCGCTGCAACCTTCATAGCTTCTGTCACCGTTAGATTCGCATGAAGTTGATTATCCTGCATGATGTAGCAGGAAAGCTTCCTGAAGGCACTAAGGTCTCTTTCGTGGTCATTTATCGTGATTATGCCTTCCATTCCTGACGTCCTGATAAGAAATTTCTAATGAATAGGTTGCAAAAATGTCTCATAATCTCGTACGTGCAAATACTGAATCACAAAATTGATGTCTAAGTGTTCCTCTTTGTTTGCAATTTATCTAAGATTGGAGATATTTCATGTCAAAAGGAATAATAAATCGCTAACGAGCTATCGTGGCCAATCATGAATATTCCATCAAAAATTTTTCGATATAGAACGTGATACAGTCGTTAATATATAAAATTTTCAACATCGCGTACATGAGAAGAACACAATGTCAGATTGTTCGCGAACGCGTTCTCAATCGCGGATGAGTACCGTGATGCCGCGCATACTAATACTGCGATTATCCGTGAAACCGGTTTGGAAAACGCGATGGAAAAGAAGTGAGCAAGCGAAGCGTAGCAACTTTTACGTATACATCACAAGTAATTCTATGTCACGCAAACCGCGAACGCTTCAGAATCGTGTCATCGCGAAACAATCAAACAAACTAAACTTGAGATCTGAAAACATATGATCCCATAAAAGATAGTTGGAGAATATTGTATTAAGAAAAATTGTAAATCGCCGCGTTTATGTTTCGCGACTATGTTGTAGTCGCTTTTGCACCTAGGCCTTTATTCTAACTCTCTTTTGTCGACACAAACGCCTCTAAATGTGACTTACAAGCATACTTAGAGGCACCTTTGTTGATAAAAGAGAATTTAAAAGAGAATTTAAAAGTTACAAAATTTAGATACAATAGGATCTTATTAAACTATCAAAATTGAGAGTCATTACCGAGAAATTTGCGCAATAATAATATTCATTATTATTATTTGTTCTTATTTATCATATTATTAATTATGTTATTATTATATAAATCTATCAGCATTGACTCTTATGATTAAATCGTTCTGCAATCGACTATATATTGTATATACACGTAATTTCTTTTATCACTAAATTATACACAGAATGTCCATTTTGAATAGCATTTGATGTCAAAACTTGAATGCCGTGAAAGAGCCAATTTACCACCTGCAATTACAGAAATTGTTACTTGCGACAGCGCAGTTCATGACGATGTAAAGCAGTCCCGTCGTTATATCGGCTAATTAGCAATAGAATTTGCTGAAAAATCAAAGTGTCAGGAACCGGTTCGAGATGTGGCCTCGAAGCATTCCTCGCTGAGAAACGTCAATTTGCGACATCTATGTGCCCTTGTACGATTTAAAGACGAAGACGGTGAGAATGAAACTCGTTGCAACGGCTGGTCTTACAATCTCCATAAAATAGAGCAAAAATGGGAATACGTCTTCACAGCATATTATTTTTTTATGATGCTCAGACAAAGAAATTTAAATACGGATTGTTTCGTCAAGCAGAACGCTTTGACGCAGTGAACCGATCGAGGAAGCATGTCGAAGTAGAAAGTCTGCATCACGAGTTTAGGGAACGATCATTCGATTTGAAATAATCCTGAAGTACAATATCCTTAAGTTATAATATCGTATAGTTAAATTGCACGTCTATGATAACGATCGCGACATGTGAATATTTCTATCTTATCACGAGGATATGCCTCTTATTATCACCTTAACCTTCATTTAGCTATCGGCGGTCGTTGTTCCTGCTGCAGAGTAGTTTCGTAATGACGAAACGCGAAGAAAGCGAGACTGTGTCTTTTGGAGGAAAGTGAGATCGTGGTATGGCGAAGAAAGCGAAACGGACCGTCCCGATAAAAACTGAAAGTGCGTGCGAGGTCATGGCAGATTATACGGACGAAATCTTCCCCCACGTGGTCGCGTGCTCATGACGACACCGTACAGGCAATATACAGACATGATTATGCGAGATCTCAAGTCCAGGAAAGTGCCGCGCGAATTTTGAGGATTACGTTCTCGTTTTCGTCTCGTAAGGAAGAAAGGGAAATGCAAAGACAAATGTTCCACAAGTAAATTTCTGTCCATCGTTTTCCTAATGTATGTCACACATTTGAATTTATCCACATATGAGTGACAAACGCAGGTTTCTCACATCTGTCACTTGATATCTCAATAATTTCGCGTGAATCTCAAAGAAAGCAAGTAGAGCTTCGACGAGTCTAATGTAATCCCGATTTTGCCCGCTTATATATTTCAGACATGAATAAGTGCCACTTAGAACAACGCGATTAAATTGTAATTTTGTTTTTGACGAAAACAAGATGTGGAAATGTAATTAAAATAATTACGCCTGTGGTGATAGGTAAATGAGTCATACAATATAACGAGAATGACAAAGGTTGCGCACATCTCTTTTAATCTCACGATTAATTTATGCGAGTTTGTATTTTATCCGAACACGAGTGTATGAGAAACGCGTGCTTACATGTGCTTTTCTCTTATTGTACTTCTTGTACTAACAACGCGCGATAACTGTATCGCCAAGTGTACAAATTCCGCGCGTTGACTCACTTGTATCCGGTGAGGATGTTCAGCAATGTGGACTTTCCCGCGCCAGAAGGGCCCATAATAGCCGTCAACTCGCTGGATCTCAGTCTGCCGCTGACGGATTTGAGGATTGTCTTCACATCTGAAAGTAGGACGGAGTCGTTAAACTCATTTGTGTGTGAGAAGTAAAAGGGAATTTTTCACTTGTGTTACTTAATTCTAGTATCGCAAATATTACATTTCACCTGAAGAACCTTTTTAACATAAAGATAAAATTATATTTGATTTAGTTTCTAAAAATTATATATATATATATAATTTTTAGAAACTAAATCAAATATAATTTTATTTTTATGTTAAAAAGGTTCTTCAGGTGAAATGTAATATTTGCGAAAAGGCGAATATATGCCAATTATTTTTAACGAATACTGGTTATTAAGAAAAAACGCGCGCAAATGTTTACGTGCGACAATACGAGTATAATAAAGTTCAAAAGCGAAATATTTTTTATCTATTTTATTGTTACTGGCTGACGAGACGCGTATCTATGGATTAATATAGACGTATAGATTAAAATAGATATTTTATAACCGATACATTGCGCGAATATATACGTGAACATTATGGGAATAAACTTGCACGTGCGTTAGATAATAATTAGCAATTGGTTGTTAACAATGTGTTGTTTAATGATACTCGACGAGCGCTCGTTGATTGGCTGCAATTAAAAAGTCGTAATTTAGATGAGGATTGAATCTTTATTGGCGGTCGTACCAACCGTCGTACCAAGATTGCACGAGCACAATCTGCGTTTTACGTGACATCAGAGCTACTAATATTGCATACGTTAGCAATACATAATACGAGATATCGGCAAAAAAAAACAGTAGGACAAAGTCTACGAGAAACAAGCTCGCATACTACATCATCACGCTCGTATGTAGTGATTCGTTCAAGTCTTGTGTGATTCATAAATAACTACAAAATCGGAAAACAATTTAACTAACGAGTTTGCTGCAACCTAGGAAGCTAAATTGTTGAATAATATCATTTGAAGCTCAGTTATTGCATTTCGTTCAAAATATATCGCAATAATAAGAAAAGCAATCAGAAAACGAACTAAATACACGTATGATCTATACTTTGTCCGTATAATTAGAGAAGGATAGGTTTGACTTTAGAATTTTTTATTTGTCCTAGTTTTTCGACGTTAGAGAAATATCATTTTGTATGTTTTATTACGCATATTAACTGATCAGGAAGTATCGAATTAAGCAATTAATTAGAGACTTTTTTCTTTTGATAATTTTTAATCGAATATTAATTCCTAATTAAGTCACATTACAATATATATTGTACCAAAGAAAAATATTTTTTATTGGGATATTTAGAAACAAAGATCTTATATGGCTAGTGTAAAATGTAAAATATCGTCGATAAAATATCTGTTTACTCTATCCGTGCGTTACAAAATGCGTCCAAAACATCTCATTTGCTCGGAATGACTAATCAGGACTTTAACTTCGATGAAATTTCGTCCAAATGGTGCAGTTTAGTTACTCTGTTTCTAGTATCCAAAAAACATACACAGCTGAAACAAGTCGTTTTATAAAACAACGCCAAACATAATCTTTTTAATGTCGGAATATGTATAAAATATTTCACATTTAAACGAGCGTATCGAAGCAAAAAATAATTTACAAAGTCAAAAGGAGAGATACGCCGATATCTAAGTAAGTTGGCGCACGCTGTTGGCGATACCTACTCCACATTATAGCGTAGTGAATCCGATTGTCTTATTAAGGTCAAAAGTCGTATATCTTGACCTCTTGATTTTATACCGTGTCTCGATTTCACTAGCAGGGAGAGAAATGTCGTACTCGTTTCAAAATCATACGCAATTCTTGAATGCCACTTTAGTAATCAAAGTCTCCTTAAGCGCATGGGGACGTTTAATCATATTATCTATTCGCTTGTTTACCAGCACCGCCATTGTTGTTTAAGCACGGAGAAAAAACAAGACAACGAACGTGTCAACGCATTGTTAACTCACGAGACACCACATCTACACTGAGAGAAAAATTATCTTAAAATCAACAAATATTTCCTTGGTGGGTGCCATTAACATATTTACTTAAATCTATATTCTTTTTACTTAAATCAAATATTGTTTACTTTATTTAAATAAATAATATTTGATTTAAGTAAAGAGAATGTAGATTTAAGTAAATATGTTAATGGCACCCACCAAGGAAATATTTGTTGATTTTAAGATAATTTTTCTCTCAGTATAATCTCTCACGTAACGAATCGTACAAGTGATGAAACAATGGATTTTGCACAACAAAATGACAGAACGACGTACTGACCGATTTAGAAATCTTATTGCATCCATTATGAACTCAAATGAACTGAAAACAGAAATTTACTCAAAAATTTATATCAATTATAGATGAAAATACGTCGTTCGCTTTTGTAACAAACCGAAATCGCTGCTGGGGGATTTCGCGATCCCATAAAAAATTTCTCAGGGAATTTTTAGTTTATTGGCGATTGATATATGCGTTGACAAGTCATCGCATGGGAGGTGTTAATTATTCTCGTCCGTTTTTGATGTCCAACTAATTAAGCATTTCGTATGAAAGTGAAACGGTGAAGTAATCGACTTTAAGCAACAGTTCGCATTACATCCACGTATGAACGTTTCACGTTAGTGCTATTTTGCCGAGACAGCAACGTTGCGTGTGCACGTAAAGTGGCAATTTAACATTCCCTGACGAAGATAAATACTGTCGGTGTCACGTACGCCATTCATGAGAGTACTACTGAGTCGTCATATGCGCAAATATTTGAGAGCCGAACGGCAAGGAGCTGTAATAAAATAGTTCTTAATTCCGATTCAAGGTAAACCGCTTTTAATTCACTCTACACTTCACCGACACATATGAGCGTTCTATGACATACGGATCATCTAATGGAGCAAATTACATAGACATATCTCTTAATATTCAATATCATCCATCTTACATGTCATTAATTACTGGCAGATAAACATCTATATTGAAATGAGATATTATTAAGGAAGAAGGAAGTAGGGAATTGTATGTTTTCCTGTTTTCCAAAACCGTCGTATTCTTTAAATTACGTGACAGTCTTTAGACCATACGTCAAAATATTTATTTTTGCAAAACTAAGTTATTATTTTTTGAGAGCCACGATATCATATCCGTTGCCATTTAAGTTAAATGTCACGCGCTTGATTTTACCTTAATTAAATAACAGACACAAACATTTTCATTTCCGATGTAGCTTCTACAAAGGTCTCTTCATGTAATCAATAGGAAGTTGATCGCGGTTTCTGAAATATCCTGTATGTCCATGCTGGAATGAGTTGACGGATCATTTACTGCTTCTTAAGATAGTTTATCTACTCACTGCTTGAGTAGCATGCACAATATTATGCTCGCGACTATTAACGGCCATAACACATTGATATTATATAATTACTTTTCTAGGAGCTAGTGTTGTCTCGCACATATGAGACAACATTACGCGCGATACGCAAATATCACATACCGTAAATTACTGCAAACCTAATCTGCCGTTCAGAGATTTATTGTGTTGCTCGTAAATAACCCAAATAATAAGGTTTAATGCTAATTAAGTAGAAACATTGTATCGTAAAAGTCGCCATATATTTGTGTTAACGATTCGTAAGTAATATACTAACAAGTAAGTCTAAACCTCGTACGGTGATTTGTTACTACGTTGACTGACTGTACACAACACTTCTGAATGTGATTGCGTGTATGTGTAGATGCTGTATCCAGTGTGCAAGTACTGTTATCGCTCGCGCGAGAGAACGAGCGGTTTGTTTAAAGAAAAAGGAACGTTTACAAAGTGCACGTTCTGTTGACCCGATCTTTGTTTCTCGAAAAGTGAACAGAGAAAGCAATGACCTGCGCACACAGCGCTGACGATTGCTTTGTCAATGCCAAAGAGCTCTATATGAGATCAGTGTGATTAAAAATAAATGCCTTATGCGCTCGTGTAAAGATACGTGACTACTTCTTAGGCATGCAGTCACGTCGTAAACTTGAGAAGTAGAAATAAGAAGCTTGTGACTCATACCTAACGAAGATCGACTGCTATAAATAATATAGGTCAGCAGTGGTTTCAAATATGGTTTCTGATGTATTACTATTTTGATCTTTTTATTTTCGTTACTTGCTGTGTTCTACATTATTACATGACGTTGACCTTCTAAAATAATATCGTACAAAGATAGAAAATGTCTCCTCCCCCTCATTTCAAAGTAGTTTTATACGTATCAAATATTCTATTTATTCAATTATTCAAGTTAATCTCTATCATATCGGCGATTGAACTAAAAATTGAAATTAGACCAATTAATAAATTTTATTTTTTAGAAGAACGATTGTGTACTTTTGAATCTCTCCCGGTTATATCGCTCGACTCTCTCATATAATTTTAAGGTATAATCATGCTTTTGTCACAGTCGAAAGATCCAAAGTATCCACGAAGCAATATTCATACAACTATAATAATATCCACACGCCACTAATTTCACCATCACATGTAACCAGTTGTTCACGTGTATGGAATGTAATGTTGCAGACCATGCATGAATGACGCGTTAAGTCGGGTTCTAAATTTGTACAGGCAGAGGAAAAGAGAGGCGAATCAATTGTTTGTTAATTTCGCGCGTGGAAGAGGCTATGTACTGAATTACGCAAACTGCAAGTTGTAAAAATGGTTGCTTGCTGCGATACCCACGATAACTTTCCGCGCGTTTAGATTACTCCGATTGCTCGTGCTAAGTGCATGAGGTGTGCGCGTCCGATATGTACGCGGGTACACCTTTATTTGCATATACTCGTGTATACGCGTAAATAAACGAGCAGCAAGAGAGAACGAGAAACGAAGAGTCGGATGGACGCAAAGGCATGTAGGCACGACGGATGCAGACGGGTCTCAAAATCTTACGGCAACCTATTTATCTTCAAGAGGCCGCCAGACTTTCTTCATTTTATTTTGCAACCGTCCGAACGCCCGCATAATAATGCTTCACGTTATATTGGTGTGGCCGCGGCATAATCTTGCGAATGGCCAGCCGACTGTACACTGAGAAAAAATGTTTGGTATTTGTGACTATAATTACATAGAGAAATAATTATTATAAATTATGGTCGAGAAAATTAAATTTTTTACTAAATTCTCTTATAATATTAGTGATAATAACTTTATATACATATTATTATATTACAATTTTTATGTTATTATATACATACTACAATTTTTTCATTAGAATAATCAAAAAATATGATCGAAGCCAAAAGTAATATTATAATTTTAGTCAGAGCAACTATTTTTTTCCCTCAGTGTAATAACGCCGTCAAACGACAATCACCTTGAATAATCTCGATAATTTCTAATAATTTGGGGGAATCTCAGTTGAGTAGTTGTTCCTCAACAAGTTGTTCTTCCTTATTGACTCCACTGTAGGTCTCTCGAGAAAGTTGCGATTGTCGTATAAAGAGCTTTTTTCTTCCGTCGCGAAGTTGTATTTCAAAGCATTGAAACAGAACATTATTTTCTTCCTTTTTTTTAATACAAATTTCGCAAATGAAGAGTATCGTGAATTCTTGAAGAATGTTATTTTTTTAGATTCGACTAAAGAGCTTCGGAGATAAAGACAAACGAGTATTGAAATGGATTCGGAGAGAACGTATTACACCCTTAGTTCGTCGTTATTTATATACATTACTGATAAACATGTAATGATTACAATAAGAACGAGACCCAAGAGCAGTAGGAATACACGATAAGCACACAGTCTCGCGCTCGATTCATCGTATCGTGCCTTGCCGAGAAAGAGTTTCCACGTTGAGAAAATGAAATGGGTTGATCCAACTAAAATTATAGTTATTTTTGGCTCTCTAAACAAATTTTTTATAATAAAGTGATAGTAGTAATATGTATATAAGGTTATTATCGCTAACATTATAGTAAAATTTAACAAAAAAATCACTTCCTCTTGATCACAAGTAAATATAGCAATTATTTCTTCATGTGATTATACTTACAAATACTAAGCGTTTTTTGCATGAGTGAAAAACTGGAATAATAACGCTAATAATAGAATGCATAGTTATCGTGTGACGAACTAGACTTCATTGAACATAATGTATATGTATAATATATTCTCTGTATTTCCTGCTTCTTGTTCCGTGGTTTTTCTTAGTTATTATATAGCGATCAAAATTACCTTGTGTGTAAGTGTGAGTGTGTGTGTGTGTGTGTGTGCACGTGCAATGGAAGTTTCTTTCTGCATTCTGGAAGTTACTCAGAATGATCACTTTGATAATATGTTTAAAGATTATTAAAATTGTAGGTTGATCGTAATTATATATAATTATCTTTTTCTTTTTCTGGCTCAAACTTTCAGTCAGAATGAGATAAAGAAATAGAAATCAAAGAGCAGCAAAAGAGAAACAGCAAAGACAAACAAAAAATATTGAAGAACAGTCTTTAGCAGCACTTATATCGCCATGTTTTGTTCGATCACGCAAACGATAAGTCGTATTGTTGTCCCAACTAGATAATGCTCTTTAAACTGTTGCGAAACACTGGTCGATGATTATTACATTCCTCTGGCGTTACAAAAGCTAAAGTCGAAAAGTGTGACTTGAAACGTAGAGTTTGAAGTATCGTAAGCTCACGTTCACCTATTTACCCAGTATCGATTAATCAACAATTCATCGGCGTGTCCTTCTGAAAAATTTGTCTATCAAGTATCTGATGCACCAAGCAAATGACATATCAAGATAATATATCAAGTAAATGATGCAACAAATATTCGATAAATCACTCGCTTATCAAGAACAATATGATTATTTTTTTATATTATTTTTATCGATAAGTTAACGAAGTTGATCAACAGCTAAGGCTACCACTTTGTGAACAGCAGTAACTAATACTAGTATTTATGACAAGCAGATATCTAAAAAGGAAAGTAATCGTAATTATCATAGCAATTCCTTCCGCGTGTATTACGAGTGCATATCTAGATGGACCTGTCCCACGATAAGAATTGGTGACTACGTTCGAGCGATAATCGGTATCTCAATTTGAACAAAACAATAGTCGTTTATAGTACGCACAGGTACTTTAATTTTATAAAGATAAGAAGAAAACACGAGATCCTCGCAGTAGGTAATGCGTTATTAAATGTTATATTTCGCTCATCAAATGCCGATTGCAACGACAGAACACGCATGATATAATATTTGTAAAATTGTATATGAAGCTCCTTTATATTATTCATATAACTAACAAAGATTCTAAGGCTTATGAGGAGCGAACACGGATGTAGTAGTGTTATCTTAATATTACATACGTGTAATATTAAAGTTTATTGTGGTAGGATAAAATCTTTGTTAGTTATTTGAATATTTGTATTGTTTATTGACTTTGTTATTCGCGTTACACGATACACAGTGAATTATTTATCGAATTATTATACGAGTATCAGTTCGTAGACGACGAACCGGCAACAGTAATACTGTCATTTTGAAAACTTGAGATAGAAAACAATAAAAATACAACCGTGTCGCGTTCGGTGCCTAATTACTGTCTATTCTTGACAGAAGTACGAGTTTATTGCACAAGTATCTGCAAAATAGTATTACTGGAAGAATGTAATAACGCTATGTCCTGAGGAGTAGTTCGCAATGTTTGCTTGCATCATCACACAATTATCTGTGATTTCTAACTCCGTTTCATCAGATACGACGCGATGCGATACGATGCGATGTGATATGATACAGTATCAATATGTGACCGAAAATATTTTTATTTCAGATAACATCCAAAGTATTTGGAAGATGCAAAGGATCGTCACGATCTACCTCGCGAAGCTTTCGCGTGTTACCTCGCTATGAGATACGAAATCAAAATAAAGGAAAAAGAGCCGGAGCCGTACACAGACGGAGTAGTGACTAACTAAAACTAATAGAGTTAGTATTTATTCTCTAAACTGAGAAAGTATTTATTATGTTCAAATTAGAATAATCATACGCATATATTTCAGTCCTTCAATGGAACCTCCTCAATGATAATCAAAAATTGGTCATTTGAAGAACTAAAACGTGTATTCTAATTTGGACATAATAAATACTTCCTCATTATATCTAGAGGACAAATACTAACTCTATTAGTTTTAGTTAGTCTTATTACACTCCATCTGTGTATTAGCTTTCATAGATCCTTCTTTTATTTTGATTTTACTATGAGATACGCTCAACGGATATGAGAGTCTCACGCTTGATATACGCGTATGATTGCCTATATGTACTTCATCTATTATCCATTCCATTGGCCGACGCGAAGCTGCACGAATCGATGGCGGCCCGAAGTAAGTAGAACGACAATTCACAGGCAACGCTGGGACTACGTGTTTTATCGTACAGCTGTTGCAAATGAAGAATGATTCACTGCGAGCTTATGAGTCACGATAAGAAGGAACAAAGGCGCCCCCACGATGTTTACTGCTCAATATTGCTACACTTTAAAGCGGTGATTAAAGTCGAGTGGCGCGGATTTTGCACAGAAAAGTGCAGTCCGCTAATGTTTTCCGGAAGAATCACCACATTCTTATTATTAATTTTTTTTATAAATGAAAATTAATTTAAAAACAACGATTTGTTTTAAAGTATTCAAATATTATATGTATCTAAAGTATACCTTGGTCCAAACAGCGCCGCTGTAACCCAGATCTACGCATTTCACCGTGGACTCAAGTGTACACGTTCGTATAATCAACGTACCTTGCAGAATTCCTTTACGATATTATATCGCAATTGTGACCTTCTTATAAAATTGCGACCACTAATCGCACTAATGGACAGCCGTGCTGAATCAGCCATTATTACAGTTCCAGAATTCTTTGGCAAAAACACAAAGGAATGCGCGTATCGCTCGCATATCGTTCGTATCGCTCGCGAAACAAATCGCAGAAACAGGTACGAGTATTATTGGCGTGTTTACCATAATTGTTTTTATCATAATAAAATTTTAATAACTCCGAGAAACGGTGGTGAACGCGACCCGATCGAGTCACATCAATCAGTTAGTATTTAAAATAAGTCCTGTGAAAAAGACAATGTGTGTTTCTGCAGCGGGAGTATTTTTATAACTACAAAAATGGAACGAGGCGTCGGATGCGTCATGTGCGTGAGTGGCCTATAGATAATCGTAAACGGCTGCACAGACGTGGCTGTGGAGCGTGCGATTCCAGGTGCAGGTGTGCATCGAAGTGGTGCAAATAGCCTGACCGCGATTCCGAGAAAATTACAGAAAATCGATCCTGACGAGTACGTCGCGTGGCTTTACTACGACTTCCTAGTGTTATTATTAAATTATCGATTCGGTGCACAGTAGTACATTGATACCGGGCACAACAGGTGGCATTATTAGACCGCGGCTGAATTATTCATGGCAACGTTCGCGTTAGAAAGTTCCTTAAACGCTTGCGCGGAATTGTGGGCAAGTCTGTCTCATTCGCGAACTGTAAATATTTATATTCCAGTCGTCTTCTCGCACTTGGACACGCTTAGATCCGAGTTCTAAGTTTAGAGTTAAGTTGTTATTTTTAGTCAAGCAAATTTATTATGATTAGGATTCCCCTCCGCGCTCAATCACGTTGCTAAAATAACCAGGCCGTTGTGAAGCGGCTTTAGGCCGCGGTCGAGCGAAAATCCGGCTCACCGGAAGGAATCAATACTTCGGGAAATCGGATTTCCGCGGTGCATGATTTCTTCAACGATTCAATCAAGAGTGCCACGTTAAAAAATCATTACATCTCGAATCGGAATTTTGGTCTTATGTTCTATGAATCATTGGTCTTATGAATCTTGAATTCTACAACGCAGTAGGAGCAAAATAAGTTTAATTCTAATAATACAATTTTGCTTCTACTTTGATGATGTTCGAAATTTCCCTTTTCACTTTCTTTAGCGTCAAAATAGGTTATAAGTTTCAGAATATCAAAATAAGTGTTAAATAAAATAGTAAGGCTGAAAGTAAGATCAAAATTTCGTCTCGGGATGACATTTGGACAATGTACCCCGATGATGAAAACCGCAGAATAATATTCCTGTCTATAACAGGATGTGGCAGGCGATTCGAGGAAATTGTGAATATAAGCAATTTCACGAACACATAAAGAAAATTATCGACCAATGATCAAAGAGCGATTGACGAGGAAGACTGCAATTGGCAATCCTCTATGATTGCAGGAAATGGCGGAAATAACGACTCTATTAAGCTCTTGTCTCCGCTTAAATATTGTCGCTTTGATTTTGCGCGGGATAAATTCGTCAAGAACGTCTGTTCCGCGTCACACGTATCTCAGCAGTACAGGATTGCGTTATCTCGAATGTCCCGTTCATTATTGTGTTCCGATAAGAGCGCGGCCAGAAGTGCTTTCGTGATATACAACAGAGAGAGAGAGAGAGAGAGAGAGAGAAAGAGAGGGAGAGATCGCAACGCGTCGTACTGCAGCATCCCGCCGCGCGGAAATACGTATTTCTCTCACGCAACTACCACGCGAGCACTGCACTTTCACTCTGTGGTCAATGTCACATCAGAAACCAGTTTGCACTATTCCGATTTATCGCGTATGCCGGGCGATGTGTTCGCCCGCTAAAAGCTGGTTCTCAAATACACGAAGGCGGAAAATAACTCGAAAGGACCATCAGCAGTATCTGCCAATACTCTCAACCGGTCAGTCACACATTTGTTCGTGGAAATCGCCGGTTGAATCAACAGTGCCTTTTTTAGTTCTCCTGCGCTTTAGAAGAAGAAAAAGAGAAGAGATATGTACTTCAAGCGTCGTCTACAATGAGAACTTAAGCCATAAAATTTAAGCTTTAAGTTCTAAGCCGTAAGAAGTTGATCAATCACAAGACTTGATTGATGTGACTCGATCGGGTCGCGTTTACCGTTTCTCGGAGTTATTAAAATTTTATTATGACGAAAACAATCACACGCCAATAATACTTGTTTCTGCGATTTGTTTCACGAGCGATACGAACAATATGCGCATTCCTTCACGTTTTCGCCAAAGAATTCTGGAACTGTAAGAACGGTTGACTCAGCACGGCTGTCCAGCGAGTGCGATTAGTGGTCGCAATTTTATAAGAAGGTCAATTATAAGAAAAATAATCGACTGTGATTGACTTGTGAGTGACTTGGGCAATTTCTTACGGCTTAGAGCTTAAAGTTTAAGTCTTACGGCTTAAATTCTTATTGTAGACGACGCTTAACTCTTAGGTTACGAAAAGGTTTCGGAAGGACGCCTAAAAATAGTTTTTGTACAATGTATTTCGAGAAAAATTTTTATTAAAATATTAAAGATTGCAAATAAGTTTTATTAAAATATTAGAGATTGCATTTTATTTAAATATTACCTAATATTTCTTATCATATTCCTTTCTTATTTAATAAAAACAAGATGGAGTTGGTCGAGGACTTCATGCATTGGACTAATTAGCATTGGTAAAAATAACACCGTAGCTTATAAGATTAATTTTCTTATAAAACCAATTAGATCGTTATGTCGCATCTGCAAATGCGATTCGGAATCGTGAGGAAGAATGAATTAATGGTCGCCGATATCAATCGCCGAGTTAATCGTAAGAATATTTATAACGCGCTTTTTTTAACGCACTTTTTTTATAACGCGCAGATCATAAATGAACACGTAGAATTGTAAGCACAATTGATAGGAAGATTATCACCGCATGCAATTGGCATCGCTCGTTGAATACCGCGACGTGCGCTACGTATACTTGCACTTTTAATCGTAGCTATTTACCACTAGTGAGTTATTATGCTTAATCATTCCATAACATGTCGCTGTCACGTGCATCAGTGTGATACGATTGTGTTCTCCATGCCTGGCGAACGATTATTACCGATAATAAATGTCGTTTATCAACATTCGTTCATGGGTGTGGTGATTATGAAGGGGAGAGGACCAAGAAGAGGAGAGAAAGAAAGGGAGAGAACGCGAGAGATCTGCGATATCACGATATCTTTCCCTTTCTTCTCTGGTGAACTTTTTCTTTAAACAAACAGGTGGTAAACAGTTCAATACAAAATGTCGGGATGAAGATTAAATTGAATATGACTGACACATACGAAAAACAAAAAACTTTGGTTATAGTCTCGCGAAGGCTTACTCCATCCGGAAGAGAACACGAAACAACTAGACAATTTCCTCATTAGCATAGAATCAAGATTACGTGAAGCCGTGTTTAGTTATATATTTATCATACACGATTAAAGCACGATTTCGTCATGCTGAATAACGTAATGTCACCTGAGATAAAATGCAGTTCAAAGGCAAAGGTAAAATTCCTTCCTTCATTGTTATATTTCCTATAATAACATGTTATATTTCCTATAATAACATCTATAACGCAATCTGTTTGCAGTTTATCTAAGCACTTTTTTATCATTATGTCAATTATTACAATTATCAATCATTATACTTGGTAAATACTTAACAATATTTAATTTAGTAAATACTTAACAATATTTAATTCACATGAATATCAAACTCTAGATATTAGATCTTTTTACGCGTGTAAATATCAGCCGTATGCTTTATTTAAATTTCATAATTCCAACTTACGTTAAAACTTACTTGATCACGGAAAACCTAATTTATATTAGTATACCGCGTAGAATTGCGAAATTTTCATTGAAATTCCCGCACGATCGAGTAATATCTATTAAACGCTGAGAAAAATTTCTCCAGACGTTTTCCATGCGCGCGCGTATAGAACATATTTAAGATTAAAATACAATGTACCCACGGTCGTATGTTTAATTAATTAGTTGTGTTAAAAGCGATATCAGCGAAACGAATAATCATCTCGGTTCTTCGAATGTCGACGTTCTATGAAAAATGCACGACAGCATGTAGTGTTATAAGAATAAATAAAATATGGCAAACACGCGCCGCTTATTATAAAAGTGATGTAACTTTCATGTAGTAAGCTTCACGTTCTAACATTCAGACGATCTCGAAAAATGATGTAACCACGTCACGTTATGCCACTTTGCATATTAAATTGTACACGAGAAAGAAATATTAATTATAACTGAATGGAAACCCAGACGAAAAGCTCGCTGGCGAGAAGTTACATCTCTGTGACCGAAAGCATTCATCTGAACATTCAGCTGCATTAAAACTCAGTTAAGACAATTGAGAGTAATTAACTGATGAGCAGAAACCTTCTGCAGGAATCTTTTTGTTCCTACAATTGAGTTTTCCATCTAGTCCCCAAGTAACAGAGAAGTCCGTTACACTAACGGAGTTGTTTTCTTCGTGTGCAATATAAACGCGTGTCTATACTTGCAACAAACACGTGTCTATCATCTAGATGGGTACCTATGATGGGGAGAAGAATCGAGGACGAAAATACTGGTTTCAGTCGTACATGAAGGATGAGCATGATGTGCATCAGGCAATTGAGCACGACTAGATTCAATATCGGTAAAATTTGAAGTAAAATGTGTACTTACTGTTTTTGCGGCCTTCTCGCACTTTGTATGTAAGGTCGCTGAACGCCATGTCGACCGGTGGCCTTTTCGGCAGACGCGTGATCGTCTTGGGCTGCGCCGGGACGATCTGCAATCGCACCGAGCTCTTCCTGGGTTGCAATAAGATCCCATTGGTGCTATCGTCGTTGTCCGTCGAGCAATTTCCCTCGAGCTTCATTTTCTTGATTTCACTGGGATCGCGCTTTTATTCGAATTCTAGCCGACAATCTCAGATCCCGTTTCGTTTCGTTTCAGGGATCGACGTGATCGGTTAACACACGGGACTAACACGTGGGAATTCCTGTCCAACGATACCTTTCAACCCCTGCAATTTAAGCTCGCTTAATGCAATGCATCTAGCTTTTTACCTCGGCTCGTTCCAGCCGGCGTTTCTTTTGAGATATACTTTAATTTTGTCTGAAGAAAAAAAATGAATTTCCGAGGAGATTATATTCGAAGCAAGTTTGTTCTAACGTAGCAGATTTCTTTTAACTGTCGATCTAACGAATCGATTGTCTCGACCAATCGTTTGAGTCTTCGAGCTAGAAGCAATTTGCTGATTTATTTTCAGATCAAGCGTAACGAGTAAAAATATAAATAGACATGTATATTATCATAAATTTATGAAGTGAAATTCGTAGATTTCATGTATACAACACGTATAAATGTTATCTCGTCATTTATCGGTCATAAAAGTGACTGCAGCATGAACAATGATTATTTTCACCGCGATAAAATCGCACAAGTTGCAAAACACGTTGAAACAATTAAAAGATGTCTGCATTCGTTCGATCGAGACACGACCATTATCAGAAAATCACACAGAACAGGCAGCAGTTGTTATCGTCGCACATGATTGCACATACATATCAGTATATGTAACAGAACATCGAGTGTGCATGCGGAAAGATTATACGTTGAAAAATTTTCGTAACGCAAAATATAAAAGAGGAAAAATCTGCGTGCATTGTGAACGCAAGTCGACTTGCAAATCCACAATTAATATTTAGCAAAACAATATGAGTACTTTTGTTAGGTTGCTCATTATTATCTCATGTAAATTATACGTTAACTTTCTATTCGACTAGAATTTACTCACGCTCGAACAAAATACCTCTATATGACTTCTACTTGAACATTTTTGTCTCTATGTCAATGTTCTCTCTGCTATTAATTATTCATTCACGACATAAATTTGTTTCACACTCTCTCTTTGCACGGCATATAACTGCTCGATGTTCTCACATACACGAGGTGTGTTAAAAGTATTTTTTCTTTCAAGTACCTCTCTTCACTAAACGGAAATAGAAGTAGAAACCAGAGGAAAGGGCATCGGGTTTCTACATAGTCCGTGACACGCACACCGTTATTTCTTTTTGCACGTTAATTGGCACTTCCTTTCCGAGGAAAGACAAGGATAACTTATCCGAGCACCTAACTTAACTTCGTGGTGCAACGAAGCGCATTTCGAACTCTTCGTACGGAACGCGAGAACTGCACGGGAAAGAGAAAATTATGTGCACGAGTATGACAATGACGATTTGCAACGTAAATCCGCACGGCTGCGCGTGTCGCGGCACACTCCCGAGCGCAGTCGTCGCTTGGCAGTTTTTAGGCGTCGCAGTGTATTTATGCCCTGATAAGAAAGTCTACGACAGGATTGGCGGATAGGTGGGGAAGCGTGCAACGGCTGTCTAACGACACCTCTTTTCGTAATGCACTCCGTTCGACAGCTCGAGACCAACTGAGTTAAAGGCCGCGACTGTACCGCGGCCGTCGTCATTGACCGTCGCGTCCCTTTTTCGTCTCCCTCCTCTTTACGCACATGTTTCCCTTTCTTTTACCTCGCGCAATAAAGAGAGACGGTGGATTTCTATCGTAGAGATATAAAGGATCTGATAGATCAAGGTCATTGTAATAGTACAGGCACAGAGAGGGAACAATTATTTTCCTTGTTCTTTAGTATGCGTGGTTGTACACTTAAAAAATGTATAATCTCTTCGTAGAGTTCTCTTATATAGAGTGTCTGATAATTCATGACACACTTGTTGTTTATGTGTGAGTAGAACTCATTTCACAACTAACCACGTAAAATTTAAAGTTATTAATTAAAGAAAATTAATGAAGGATCACGCGCGACACGGTAGATGAACTGTGATGACGTTTACCGTTATGTACTTATGTATTAGATCAAACGGAATAATAAAAGTCATCTAACATTTTGCAAATAACTACGTAGATTTTTAGTTATTAATTAAAGTTTGGTTGTTATTATAATTTTAGTTATTAATTTTAGTTATTAATTTTAGTTATTAATTAAAAAAGATTAGGATATTATCGTATACATGTGAAACATGTTTGCGAAATAGCAAAAGAATTTTATGTTTAACTTGTTGAGCTGTAACGGGTGTGCCATGAATTGTCAGACATCCTGTATATTAGTCTAAAAAAAATTCTCTTCTAAAACTAAAAAGAAAATATTCTAACATCCAAAAAGAGGAATTCTATTTGCAAGATGCAATTTCCTGTAATCCCGTATTGTAAACGAGAACTTTTACCGAAAAAGTGTTCCACTTATTAAAATAAACTATTAATCGGATATTTACTAAATATTGTTCTAAATTTTCTGTTTTTTTGAAACAAGAAGAATACTCATTTATTTAAGAGGAATCAAGCGATACGACAGCGTCGCGACGCCAAGTACATAAAGACGAGTTCCGAGAATGATAGGTCCGAGATGTGACTATGTTCATGGTACACGACGCTATCAAGAAGTTTTTCCGGGGTTTTTGCGATACCTATTTATTTGAAAGAAAATGTCTTATATAGCATGTAAGACGCGATAAACAAGATTTGTACTCTGTAGATAAAAGTATTTTCTCTAACTTGAAATATACCATACAGTAGATAAAAGTATACCATACAGGTATACTTAATCCCAGATGATACATATTCATATATGTATTTTATACGTATGTAATGTTTCATAATGGGAAAGCATAATAAGAAACGTTTAGACAGAAACGTTTATAAAATCATAATTTAAAAAGTGTGTTTAATGTTTCTACAATCAAAAGAGTTTTATTTTTTCGATAAACTTTGTCGAAATATTTGTAACCAAGGTAAACATATTTTACATAAATATTTTATGCATGTATCTCTAACTTCTCTTTTATTATATAAAATATTATAACTATAAATAGTTTATTTTTGTGGTTGTCCTAAATAATATTATAAGAAAATTATAATTAGTGTTTTGGTTGCATATGAGGATAATAAAAAACAGTTAGTATCAATTGAGGAAATAGAAGTACCATACAATAGATACAGAGAATAAAAATACCATGTAGTAGATAAAAGTATTTTCTCTAGCTTGAAAGATACTGTACAGTATATTATCCTTAGTATGTTTTCCTTATGATTTTAGAAAAATCCTCTTAAGACCATACATAAGAAGATTCTACTAAGAATGAGATTTATTTTTTAGGCTGTACCATATACATTTTACAAGTCTCTGAGAAATTAATCGTCCTGCTCGAAAATCCGAAGAATATATAGTGAACGAGACTCTCATTTATCCTCTGTAACTTTTATTTATGTTGTCATGATATAAATGGAATATAGTTATTTGACTTTATATCTGTTTACTGCGTGATGGTATGATGCCGCTGGAACGACAGTGCCAAATACATTTGCATCAGTTTACCTTGTGATTTCATGTATCGTCTAGGAAGATTAATTAGAATCATGCTTATAGACAGATAATGATACGTGTGGCTTAGATATATACGCTTCAATGACAATATAAGAAGTTCAGATGATTTTTTTGAGGTGACTTGAGCAAAGTTCACTTAAACCTAGGAATCATATCGCAAACGACCTTGTTAACGAATTGAATCGCGTATTACATAACACGTTAAAAGTGCAACTCATCGGAACTGACGATTCTTTGCGGCTTTGCGGCTTCGATGAAGCATCATCGACGCATTTACTTTACATCGGACAAATTTATGAGTAAGTATACGAGTCGTTTCATGCTTGCACGAAACGTGATTAATGACAAAAAAATGTGAAATCGCGATCGTATTATTTTCGCAAGAGAGAGAGAGAGAGAGCGACGTCCTCATATGCTATGTTGGTTATGGTGTGTTGGTATATGGTGTGTTGGTTCGTACGTCACATATGCTCATTCGTAATGCAAAACTGATATGACGTCGGCCATCACAACGCCGTGAAAGGATTGTTTTTAGTACGTTGACGTAAGTGTATAATGGTTTAATGGAAATCCAAAGACGACGATGGATTAACAATTGTAACTACTGCCGGCATGTTTAATGGTCAGAAAGTTACGACGGATCAAAATATATTAGTAGTAAAAATTTAAATTCATTTATTTAAATAAAATTTTTTTATTTCTAAATAGAATTAAAAGCAATTGCTTTCATGAGAAGCTAAGATTGTAAGAAAATGTACGTTTTCTTATTTCAAAAATATTGTCAATAATTATAATACGCGAATAAATATTTTGCATGGGATTTATATTATTCTTTACGTTGTTAATTGAAAATTTAAAAAATGAATTCATATTAATCATAATTTTTCGCACAATTTGAAAATAATTAAAAATATTCTCGCTTGACGTCGCGCAATCGAAATTTATATAATCTATGTCAATATGTGATTATAGAGGTTAATGATGAAGCCTTTATAAATCGACATGGCTCGAAGGCACAATATAGTTTCACGTGGCAAACGTGACTATGTTTACTAAATGCAACTTATATCTTTCGCGCATTAGTCAAACACAATGCGCTATTTATCGTCTGTATTATAAGAACGAAGCTACAATGTATCCTTGACCGTGTCCCGTCACGTATCGTACCTTTGCTCGCGTAGAATATAAAATGGAAAGATCTTCAGGAAAAAGAATTGCGAAACCAATAGTCAGATGTCAGAAAAATACTAAACTGCATCCTACTCGAGGCGAATCGTAAAAGTAGAAAGTATAAAAAGAACAGTTCGCTGAAACGTCTTTAACGTCGCATTTGCAAAGAGATAAAAAGACGTTGGTGTTTGAACTTTTTGCATAAGCCAAGAAAATGCGAAAAAAAAATATAATTACAACTCCAAGTGGCCAACAAAAAAAAAAAGAATTCGAGCGACTTCTTTTTTTGCACAGCCGACACAGTATTTATGTTAATTGACAGCAGAATTTATTGGAATCGCGTGCCTATAGGAGTGCGGCCAAGTTTCGGCCCATTTTTAATGGGATTTTGTAAAATTTGGAATATTCCAACAAATAATATATAGAGAGATCGCTGAAAAAGTGAAAAATAGGTTCACGAAGAGCATTGAATTAATACATACATCGATTTAAAGTACAGATCCAGTAGATTAAGAATATAAAATCTCGATATTATTCTCGCAGTCGTTTGGGAAATAAACGGTCCATAAAAGGTTGTAATCTCAACAAACAGCCATACTATTAAGTTTGCAACTTCTTGGGCCGTTTATCTCCTCAACGATTACAAAAATAATATCAATACTTCATATTTTTAATCTACTCATCCTAAGCTTCAGATCGGCATATCATTTATTAGAATATCCAAAATCAGTGGAAAAAGGACGAAATGACTATGGATGCTTGGCTACATTTTTTCGATAATTCTAATATTATTCCAACGATTATATTTACTATTCAGACTGTATTTACTTCCAGAAAATACGTCTTACCAAAAGATATCGCCGGAATATTAGGTTTGGGTCATTCCTTTTTGATGAAGTGAAGTAAAATGTTCGCAAAACGTCGGAATCAGACAAAGAATAATTCACGTGGCTCAAATCCGGAAACCAAATTTAATATTTATGTAAACCGCGAAAATCTCAGATATCATGTTGCCGGAATGGCACGATTGAGTTTCGAGTGTAACACGTGCGAAGCAGGCGTTACTCCCCCTTTCTCCCTATCAAATTTTTAATATTCTTAGCCGCCCTATCCTTCGACGCACGCAAGCAAATAAAGCATCTTGACGAAATGCATCATATCCGCCATTTATTCACATGTAACACATCGTTTAACATGAAAATGATTACCTTGTTTTATCCGGATACACTCGAAATATACTTGAAAACCGGAAATTGAAATCGCTGTTAAACTATCAACAGAACAGCGTATTGCTTGCATAATCGTGATTCTACTGCTCCTGCGTTTACGTAACCAGTAGCGATTATTACGTAATAAAAATGATAATAAGGTTACTCTACTTCTGTCCTTGTTGCCCACAGTGTTATCGTAAAAGATATATTAAAACTTCTTTATTTCGATTCGCGAAAGAAGCAAATGTCTCTGTTTCTCTTTTTCGCGACCAAAAAGAAGGAGGTAAAAATGATAGATTTTCACAACAGCATCTTTTCAATGTTTAATCCCCGGCGAATTCGATAAATCGCGATAACGAAGATTCTAAGCACGCTACTGTGAACGTGACTATTTTGCCAAGCGCAATCTTTTCTTGCTAGAAATCACGCGACAATAATACACATGAAAAAACAAGAGATTGCTGAAGAAATGGAAAATAGGTATTTACGAAGAGCATTGAAATAATAGTTAATGCGCGCAAACGATGTATAATCTTTTTTGTATTTTCCAGACAACTGGACCATCAATCAGAGCTCTATTAATGGAGAGAAATCTTCCAAATTCTCGTTATTTAAAAGAAAATTTATTTCAAGTAATGGTACTTATTTTCTCATCCGTGCGCTGAAAGCTGAGAAAAGATATTGTGAATCTCATTGAAATTAATCTCTGGCGCCCATATCCTCTTGTTCAAACAAAAAAATACTAATAACAATTCACGCGTAAGGTTATCAGCATAGTGTTAGTGGCTTTCATGACTATAATTGGCTTTCTCGAGTGATTATAGCTGCACAAATATCAAACATGTTTCTTCAGTGAATACGTAAAATTCTGTATATCATTCAACCATTTGTAAATAACGCTAAGATCACAAATAAATATTAAACAATACGATGGACACGCACACATCTCCGTTACATGATTAAGCATGCAGTTATTTATCATTCAATTACATATGTCAAACCTTGACATACAATCGGAGGTGAAAAGATTATCCGTAATTTTTGGAATAAATTTTACGAACTCATTTGTCTTATCTAGTGACAGTATTCCTCCCATCAGAAAATAAATTCTCCTATTAGACAAGACGGAGAGTTTAAAAATTGATCGAGAAAATAATCTTTTTGCCCGCGACTGTATGTAAAATATTCCAAACGACGTGGAGTAACACGGATGACGTAAGAAATCTAGCGTTATCTCGTTTCAATGTAGAGATTATCGCTGGTTTCGCATATTGTAAAACCATATAGTGAAGCGTGGTTCAGAGAACGATAAGAGATTTATGCATTTTGCGAAGAAACGAACGATTTGTCGAACACAATTCATTATTACGAGCTGAAGTAAATATCTATTAACCCGGCCAGCCTGTCCAAGATACGAGCGTCAATAATCGTGTAATGTCGTTATTTTTTTTACCGATTTATCTGAACGTTCCGTGGGAAGTTTTTGTTTTGTTTTTTCACAAAAGATTTATGTATTGCGGGAGACTTTGTTGACAAATTATGTAAATGTCGGCAGTCCCAATGAATAAAAAAGGGAAGGAGGGGATGAATAGAAAAAAAGAAATGCGAGCTGAAATTTCAGGAGCTTGCGACCATAAAATTTTTTCGCTATCCATCCGTAAAGTTTCCTCGCGAGTGATTCATTGACATCGAACGCGGAAAGCTGCTGCGATATATGTCGCTTACACAACAAGAAATGCAAAGTCCACGCGAATAAATCAGGAAGATAACACGTGTGGTACTAGCGACAAGGAAATATCATGTAGAAATTTCGCTCGCGTATTTACTCGACCATGAATCGTCACGTTCCTTATTTCCGTTAGCATCAGCAACCTCAGGATAATTAAAGCCAA